TCGAATTTTTCCTGATTGATAAAATCGGGGGCGGGGCGGGGATGTTAATACCTACCCCGCTCCTGCCCCCATACCCGCCCATGTTCCCGCCCCGCTTAATAATATAATTAAAAAATTATTTATATATATATAAACCAAAATTATAAATATTTATATGTAAAAATTTATATTATTTTACTTTTCTTTTATTTTTTTTAAAATTGTTCATATTTATTTAAAAAAAAAAAATAGGAGCTGAGACGGAGGCGGGAAAACTCGAACCCTGTCGGAGGCTGGGATAGAGACCTAGATTTTATTCCCGGCAAGTATCGAGGGCAGGAGTAAGGGCGATTTAAATTTGTAGGGTCAGGGGTGGGGAACGTAAAACCCGCCCCGTCCCGCTACTTGCCATGCCTACATACAATGTCTCTTGGGCTGCATGTTTTAGAATTGCCGTATAATAAAATGCATGTGGCTCCCTCCTGCTTCGTGACTTGGTTGGTGTATCATTTCTTATTTTCGTAGTAGACCAGTGATGTTGTATCACAGGAATAAGCGTATTTAGTAAGATATATTGCAAGTACTGAAATCAGTAAATTTTAATTATAAAATTGCATTTAAAGGACCGATTATAAATATTTTATTTAAGTCATATTTTAATAATTATTCTAATTTAATGATTAAGATTATGTATTTTTCTCCCTTGTGTCACTTCATAAGTTCATATGCTTCGTATTTGTGTTTGTGAATTTAATATATATCCTTGTATACATTATTGCAAAATAGCGTGAAAAATTTAGGATTTATTTGGTAAAATTAGTTTATATACAAGTATTAAATTGTTAGTTATTAGTTGTTTGAGTTTTGGTAAATTTCTTTGTAATTAACTTAAATATTCAGAAGTATGATTTGTTTTAGTGGTTTGTGTTTGGTGAATTGGTGATTTATTACCAATATACTCTGTTATGTTTTAGTTTTGTATGGGTTAAAGTACCCCTTGTACTCCCTTTTTAATATTATCCACTTTTGCCTAGCGAAAAAAAAACTAGTTAAAAACTTATAAATTATAAAGTTCAAAAACTAAAAGGTTATAAGGTAATTAATTGAATTAAAAATATTTGATAAAATTAATTAGTTGATAAATATAAAATGACAAAAAAAAAGATTTTTTTATAAAGAGATCAATGAGGGAATGGCAAAACAAATAAGATAATTTATAAATTAAAAAGGTAAAAAAATTTCAAGTAAATTAATTATGAAAATAGAAAAAGATAAGAAAAAAAATTAAAAACTTATAAATTATAAGTTACTTCAATTAATTTATAAAAATAAGTTATAAGTTTCTAAAATAAATTCATATAAAATCTTATATGAAATATGCTTATTTTAGAAAACTAGTTAAATGAGTTTATAAACTTATTAAATATCTGACTGAACAAATTTTTAATATGTTAGATTATATATGGTCTTAATTTTTTTTTGGTATACATATATATATATATATATATATATATATATATATTCATATTAAAATAAATTTTTCTGTTAACAGGAAAAAAATTAACAAAATAAACAAATCAAACATTTTCAAGAAATTGGCATCACGTTGGTTTTTTCCTTTAATTTAATTTAAAAATATTGATAAAATATTAAATGAAATAACTATACACAGTCCTGGCATATGCATGTTTTCGGGGGGAAAATGTATTCCTATGTTTTTCGTGATGAATAACAATTATCTTTGTTATATTGAAAAGGGGCCAAAGGCCAAAAAAACAAGACAGGAACTAACGCATAAATAAAACATTTGATATTAAAAAAGAAATTATATTCACTTAAACCCAGAAAATTAGATGTATGATAGTGTAATTACAATTGTCTTTGCTTAATAATAATACATTTAATGATTTTATACCCTTTGTCTCCGCAACAATTTTTTTTAATTCAAGTAAGTAGAGATAGCTATTCTTGATTGAAGCTTTCTTAATTAAAATGCATATTCGACGTTGAGTTGTAATATTTGCTAGTTCTCGTCCATTTCTATGATGGCATTGATTTCATTCATGTTCATATATGCTTGCCAAGTCAACAAAGGGATGCTTAACATTTTTGTAAAATAATAAACTTCCAATTAAAGAGACAAAGAAGGTAAAGATGTGAGAAAATTGACAAACTAATTACAAGTCATTAATCTTGATTTTCAAAATATATATTGTTTAAATTATTTATTCAAAGAACTAAAAATTTTAATAAATTCATTTATCAAAAAATATAATTATATTCGACCAAGTTATCACCTTTTATGAGTATACCGAAAATTATATTCTTCTTCTTTATTATTGTCAATCATTTTCGTACACTTGAATTACCAAAAAGAAATATTTTTTAAACAAGAAGTAGAATAAAATAATGATTATTAATTGGCGAGGATATTTCTTTTTTCCTTTTCATGTATCATGATAAAAAATGTCGGAAATTGATGATTGGTGTGAGGTCCTTCAATATAGATGACGTATGGATGAATGATTTGGGAAAAGAACATCCCAGCGACACGTTATATTAGGCCCACTTGCCATGACAGAAATGCTCCCAGCTCAGCCACAGCCACAGCCACACCGACCACCTCCTTTGGTTTTTCTTAACGAGGTTCCAGAATATACTTGGTATCACCATGGCCGCTGCAAAAGCCTAAAGCTACCCTTTATTGCATAGCGTGAATCAAAGAAAATGAATCACACGCATGCCAGAAAAAAGGAATCAATTTCCATTTCTATCAAGAAAATCATGTATCGTGGCCTAAACAC